TCTTAACAGTAAAAACTAGTTTATGTACAATGTCTACTTAAATTTTCAGGAAGATTCTTCTGTATGATGTAACATTCCCCTGAGGTACTAGAACTCCAAGTCACTGAGATAATAAATACATGGGAAAGCCAGAGTGATTAGTACAAATCAGTACAGGTGATTTTTCCTTTGATGCTTAATTATATATTTTATATATTATTAATCCAGTATTTATGTAAGACTGCATTTAACTCAATTCACTGGCAAACTGCATTACTGTAGTCACAAGTATAAACTTAAAGTACATAAGTAACTTAACCATTCTCTTTAATAAAGTGTACACAAACAATCCATACTAAACTAATAAATTTCTTATTAAATTAAGCCACTGTAGTAGAAAGCTATCATCAATGGTTATTGAAGCAATCCTTGTTTTGTGTTCTTCCAAATATCAGACAATCACCATGTTAACATTAGATGAGTGTCATAAATCAATGTGAATCTTAAAAGGCCCAGGAAACTAAAGCCAAACACAGGATGAAACTAATTTCTTACACAACAGGCTCAGAGACATAAATGCATAGAAGATAAAAATCCATGTTTCGATCTGGTATCTTAAATACATTAAACATATTTATTCTACTTTGTAAAATTTTAATCTTCTGAAAAGCTTGTCTCAGAATCCTACATTCAACAGCTAAGTTTTAAAACAGTAATTCTTTACGCAAGATTCATTTAGTTTTACAAAATACCTGTGACCATGTCCTAGAATTCTGCATTACACTGTTCTGTCACAGGGCCCTGGAACTGATCTTTGTAAAAAAGCTCCTTGACACTTCTAATATGCAGGTAGGTAAAGCACCAGTACTTTAAACTAAGTCAGCCTTTTGGGACAATAATTACTCCAAAATTGATAAATACAATTTTTTCCTTTTAATAAGATTTTATTAAAAGTACTCAATTTATTCTAAGGCTAATGGGTGACTATTACATTACAGGCAGTGTGTTTAGAGATGGAGAAAGATGTTATATATTTCCCTACCTCCAAGAAGCTACTTATTAGCTAGGTAGAGAGACCATAAATAAGTAACTGTAATTAAATATGATAAGTGCTCTCAGAGTGAGCAAATAGGGCAGGCCTGGCAAACTTGCATCTCATCCGTAAGCAAGGGTCATGCTTCATCATTCCAATTTCAGTATATACCTTAGCAAAGCAGGACACAAGTTCCAGGTTTCTGAACACTCTAAAATCCAGGACAAATATTCGGCCTACACAACATAAAAACTGTACATTGTGTGATCCGCTGCCTAAGACACTGCTTATACCAGAAAGACCACAGTTTTTAATGTTTTAATTTAAAGGACCTATTTTAAAACACATTTCATATAGTATTACTAGTTTTACATTTATCTATAAGACTATTAATCCTCAGAAGGGACAGTAAGTGGTTATTACAAAAATTTGTCATTACCTTGTATTTGCATAATACCTTTTCTTTCCAGTAATTGCTAAATTTGTTAAGGCAAAAAGTTTGGGGACTAGATGGGTGTGGTAATACTATATAATTAATCTCAGCACGTGGAAGGCAGAAGCAGATGCAGGTGGATATCTATGAGTTTGATGCCAGCCTGGTCTACAAATTATATAGTGAGACCTTATCTCAAAAAAAAAATGTCTGAAACTATAATTGAATTTGCTACAATAACTTGAAAGATGCTATATTAAAAGCGTTATGGAAACAAAAGTCATTGAAGAGTTTCTGCAACTTTCAAAAAAGAAAAAGGAACACAGACTGTGTCTTAAAGTTTTTAAATGGCATCTTACCAATCTTTATAATTAAGATATATGATTCTTTCAAAGACAACTTTAATAAGAGTAAAGGTTTCAACAACTACAAAGAAAATACATTCCAAATAGCAATCTCCCTTCAAACCTCCTTACCTTAAGTCATGTTCATAACCAAGAAAAAGACAGCTAAGGGGTCTAAATTCCACTGGAATTTTAAGTCAGGTGTGATAGCATACTTCTTTAATTCCAGGACTTAAAAGGCTGAGATAGGTAGATCTCTGAGTTCAAGAGCAGCCCCAGCTACATAAAGGCTCTATGCCACCCAAGGCTACATTCATGAGACCCTAACTCAATCAATCAATCAACTTGAAAATTCTTTTACACCACCAAGTAAAGCCTAGCTCATAGAGGATGAGTGAGAAGGTGGATGGGTAGGCAGAGGAGTGAGTGAACAAAATGTCTTGAAAACTGAAATCTTCTTTAAACAGCCTTAGTGAAAATTTAAAAGTATTAAGAGATTGTGGTGTCAACACAATTTGTGATACTAATTTGATACAAAAGAAAATCAAAATTCTATAGAGTCTGAATAGACATCAACAAAAAGATTTTCAGGATGAAGGATGATCTGCGGTGTCTTTCTGTTTAACCTCATAATTGAACAAATTTCTAAGTTTAAATGTATGCTGTCAAGGTGGCTGCAAAAAAAAAAAAACTCAAATAAATTTCCATTTCAGGATCAATATATCCTGACACAATTTACTGGAGAAACCATCAACCTTTGCACAGGGTGAGGAATACCATCATTACATTCTTTCACACTAAGGCTATCTTGGATTGATTATTTTAAGGAATGGCATTTTATAAATGACACCAACCAAATCTGATTTTGTAGGATAAGAATGCAATTTTACAGTTCACAGTAGTGCAGGCAACTCCTGACTTCCTAGCATCTCACAATTAGCTTGCTCTTCGTCAAAATGCAGCTGCAGAACAACAGAATAGATAAACTTCATTCTAACAGAGGTGTCTTCTGGAAGATTTTCTGTTTTAGATCAGCACAATACAGACTGCTAACAAGAGGCTGACCAATTTTTTAAATCCACGCTGTCATTCTTTCAGACTTGAAGTAATCACAACCAGTCACCAAAATTGATTCAATGATGGCAATTTCCATCATTGTAATATATGTAAAGCATCTTAATCCCACATTTTCCAATGATCAACTTCAGGCTCACTTACAACAGCTCTATAACTTAAGATAGAACAAACACCACTCACTCTCATGATCATTTGGTTGTTTTGTTTTGTTTTTTTTTTTTGAGAAACATCTCATTTGCCTTCTTTGTGTGCTCTTAACAATGAAGAAATTACAGAGAGTTTTGGTATTTTTCTGTCTAGAAATGTGGTAGTTGGCTCACTTGAAATGTGGCTAATCCAACTGAGGCAATAAAATTTGCATTCTGTTTAATTGATTAAAATTTAGAAATAGTAAAGCCAGTTACTGGAAAACTTTTATGTATGTTTGGAACAACTTGAGTATGTGAATCTACTTTTTCTGCACATGCAAATTTTATGAGACCTAAATACGGATGAAGTACTTCTGGTGAAAATTTAGCTTAGCATCAAAATTGAGATATGCTGTTAGTATAAAATACACATTGGATTTCATATGGCTTAATATGAAAAGACGCACAGTATTGCAAAATTTTTCAGGCTGAAATCACTAACTTAAATATAATGTATTACATAAATATTTTGCTAAAATTGCACCTTTTGTTTGAAATCTTTCTAATGTGGCTACTAGAAAATTACAAATACATGTGGCTCTAATTAAACTAGCTTTTGGACAGCACTGCTCTAGGCACATCCATAAAGACTATACCAGACACATTTGGACATTCTCCTAACAGATAAGCTGGTCATTGAACAATGGGGCAAGGAGTGATGTGTCCTCGAAGCATTTGGGTCTAAGAAAAGAGTGTTGCAAGCTCTACCCACAATTTCACTGTGTGAGCAGCACTGTAATACCTCAATATGGGAAAAAATGAGTTGCCAATATTCAAAAAATTGAAACTGAGTATATTGCAGACAACTTAAAAGAGGTAGAGGCAACTGCTCTGTCTTGCTTTCATTTCCCAACTATGAGCCTTAAAATAAACAATAAAGCACTGCTTCCAAAAAAGAGGTAAAATATCCTAACACCAGCTATCTAACGAGCCCTATTAAATAAGCAGAAATCGCTCTTAAACCTTATCTCAACTTCCAAAGCCTGAGAATACACGCTGAGCTAGGAAATCAACTTCAGATTGCCAGCATTTCCCTCACAAGCAAATTAGCAGGATTGTGCACTTGGAATACTGCTTGACAAGAATGAAAAGGAAACAATTCAAAACAGATTTCAGGACTGGACAATTAGATGAGGAACTGCAGATTTAATTCTCAATCAGTCCTGTGATTAATCTGATTCCCTGCTTTTCCCTAGTGTAATTATACAACACAGATGAAAGGATGAGCATTTGGACTGTCAGTTCTATAATCTAGACCAGCCCGGTGACTCAAAGCAGACTGCTCCACCACGCTAACCACCATCCCAACGACAGTGGAAGGGAGCCTCGAGCACTGATTGTACAGTCATTGCATAACGAGGCATTAAAAATTTGGGTGCCCCTAACTCTTTCTACGTTCGTCTTCGGCAGGTGAAAAATTTGCTGAAACTGGACGCACCCGTCTTCAATGACCCTCTTAAATCCGGGCATGGGGTGAACACAAAGGCATCTGTCTAATATCCTGGCACAATAGACACACACCCCACAATTAAAAAACCCTGGACGCTCTCGCTCTCTCCACACGAAATGCAGGCTGCTCTTTTTGTGAAAGGTCTATGATACAGGAGAGGTAACAATAACCCCAACTGTTCCCAGGAAGCAACTATAAAATCGGTCCTGCCACGTCCTTGTATAACCATCAGAGAAAATGCAGGCAGTCCGCCCCACGCCTTATGGGGTGGCCGACCCGGGCTCATTGGCCTCCACGGATGGCCGAGAAGGCTCCCCAGAACCCCTCCTGGCAGGAGGTCCAGGTACACATCTATAAATACTCCAGGGTGAAGAGGGCGAGGGAGGCAGAGAGGAGGGAGAAAGGGTAGGGGGCAGGCTCGGAGAGGGTGCGGGAGGCCCGGGGCATCGCTGAAATGCATTATTCCACACACTCGCTCCCTCGCGTGGAGACTCACTTGCCGATCACCTCGCACAGCTCGTACACATCCTCGAACAGCACGTCGTCGTCGGCCATGGTCCAGAGGGGACAGCGGCCGCAGCGTGGAGGGTTCAGAAAACTGGGTTGGGGGGCGCCCAAGAGCTCAGCGCCCGGCTCCCGGCTCGAGTCCTCCCCTTCTGGACCCGCAAGCCCTCAGCGCTGAGGAAGCTCAACCGGAGCCGCGAGGCCCGGAGACCGCAGCGCCTTTCCTGCCGGCTGCCGCCCTGGCTCCAGCCGCGGGGCCGGGGCGTGGGAGTGAGGGCGGCCCGGGGCCCGGCGCCGCCCGCCTGCCCGCCTGCCCGCCCGCCCGCTGCTGCTGCTGCTGCTGCTCCCGGCGCTGTCGCTCGCGGCCGCGCCGCCGGCCGTGTGGACCCTCGGGGAGCGCGAGGCGTCGCACTCTCCGCTCCGTCAGCCCCGCGCGGGCCGCGAGGCCGCGACCGCTCCCTCTGCCCGAGACCGGCTCCGGCTCCGGCTCCGGCGCGGGGCAGCTCGGGCTACAGGGGGGGCCGCGACAGCACCATGGAGGGAGGATCGTCGCGAAGGGAGGTGGTGGCGGCTGCTAGGCGCTGGGGAGCAGGAGGCGGCGGCAGAGACGCTCCCTCCTTCTCCTCCTCCTCCCGCCGCCGCCGCCGCCCGCCTGAGTGTGGGAGGGGGCTTCGCGGGATGAGCCTCTCAGCCAGGGCGGGAGCCACGACAGCCGCCTTTGGCTCCTCCCCTCAGCCTCAGCTACAGCCTCAGCTGCCGCCCGCCGCGGACCCTCCTCTCCTCTGGCCCGCGCGACAGCTAGATTTCACCCCCCAGGCCCCGCCCACTTCAGCCCGTTGGGAGGCGGGGACCGCGGAAGGAGGCGGAGCAAGGGGAGGGGGGGGAGAAAATAAAAAAGCGCTCCCAGTGGCGCATGCGCGCAGAGCCCGCAACGTCACGGTTGGACTGGAGGGCGCGGGGAATCTAGAGGGCGCTGGGGGTCGGCGAGCGGAGCTGGGCTGGTTTGCAGCTGCTGAGGTGGGGCTGGTGGTGGTCCGTCGCCTCTACTCTCAAGCTGAGGACCAAGTGGAGAAAAGGGGCCGAGGGACAAAAGGTCCACAGCACTGTGCACGTTCTTGGACGGCGTGCTCGGCACTCTGGCAGCTTCTTTCGTAACCGCTGGAAGCCGTTCTCAGTTTTTTTGGCTGGGGGAAAAAAAAGCACAGGGAAAGGGTTCTAATGAAAGGAAAAGCTAGAGAGGGGGTGGACAGAGATTGTCACTCAAGACCGTGCTTGGCGGCGGATGCTTTTAGTGCCACCCTACCATTCTTTAATGAAGAGGAAGGCTGGGGGAGGGGGAGGATTGTCCAAAGAAGGGGCCGAACAAAAACTGTAGAGGAAGGTGTGCAACAAGGAACCGTGAACTAGGGAAACAGCTTCTGTCGCCTGCCCCAAACTCACCAAATATTTGTGCCGTGCCTATTCATATGCTAGACAAAACCTAGAGACGGGTCAGGAAAATAGAGACATAAGAGACTTTAAATCCATTGTAGATTGTTCCCAAGCCCCAGCATCTAGTTTGTTTACTGCACTTCCTATAAATGTTGGAGTTCTCAGCATAAAAAAAGAAATGCAACTAGAAAGAATGGATACACTGGGTCAGCCACAGAATAAGGCTCTGGGTGTTGCCGCTGTACTAGGTTGTATGCAATATGAAGATTTCTGTTCAACTGAGCATGTGCAGAGGGAGCCAACGCCATCAGAAAGGTATATGCCTTAGTTGAAGACCAATAAAAAAGAAGTCTTTGTTCTTCCGCACACAAGAAGTGTCCAATTAGTTCATAAGTCAGCTTTCCAGAAATCATCTGTTAAAATTCTCAGCGTGGTATTTTTGAAGTAGTGTTTACCAAAGTGCAGGGGGCAGGGTGAAGACTCAGCCCATTTCCCTTTCAAAAACGATTTGCACAAATCCTTGATCGCTCCCTCCAGAGGCTGGGCGATTTGCTTGTTAAACATTTGGGAACTAAACCTCTTTCTTTTCTTCATTTCTTCCCTCTCTCCTCCTTTTCAAGTAAATCAGGAGAAAATATAATTGTGTAAGAAGGTTTTCCTCCTTTCCCAAAGATTTTGTGACTTCAGAGCCCCAAAAGACTTGGTCTTTTTTGAAGGTCCAACAGTTACAAGTCACTTACCCCAACCTATCACGTCACCTGCCACCACACTCCTCAGAAGTGAACGTAAATTTTTACAAGTCACACAGCTTCCTTTCTCCAGTCCAATTGCGAGCTTTGCCAAAGCTTGTCTACTTTCTGTTAGAGTTTATCTTTCATGGAGAATGTCTCTCAAGCTGTAAAAGCAGGCAATCGTAAAGCAGAAAAGGAAGTGCATTCGGGGGAAAACTGCAAGGATAGGTGTGGTCTCTGCTCCTGGACAGCTAGTTTAGATCTGAAAAGAGTCTTAGTGGTCAGGTGGTCTGAAGGGTTTATAAAAGTTGGTTGCTCTATCAAGACCTACCTCACACCTCCACTATTTGTTAGCAGCTCTGGGTTTGATGTGGGATTATACTTGATCTTTGTTAGAAAGGTGGATTCACTAATCAATGCACAACCCCCTGCAGGAACTGGCCTAATCTTATCAGCTCTTGACACTTCCTGGTCAGTCCTTGTTTGAATGGTTCAAGACTTTCCAATCACTACAAAGTTCAAAACTTTCCCTCCAGCTAGGACCTATATCTCCTCTCTCCAAGGGTGGTGTTTAGTTACACAAAGGGCTCTCAGCCAACCACAGCTCCTAGAGTTTGTATCATGGCTGATGGCAAGTGGAAGTTCCTCTCTGCTACACTGCTAAATTTCTTCCAAAAATCCAATACCTTTTGCCAAAAAAGGTGTCAGGTGTCAACAATTAATTCTGTTTTAGTTAAAGTAAATGTAGAAGTAGCTAGTTACATGAATTAAAACTACATTTGGTTTTGTTAATAACCGAATTTTCAACTAATAGTCATTTAAACAAATGCAGGTAGTGATTTTCTTGGGAGTCCAGAAACACTTGGTTACTGACAATGGATCATCAGTGACCTGGTATGTTCTTTCCACACTATCTTCCTTGATAGTTTGCCTCTCTCCCTTTAGCTTGTTTCTTATCATCTCAAATTGGATGCCACTATTTCTTTTATTTATTTTTATTTTTTATATTAATTACAGTTTATTTACTTTGTATCCCAGCTGTATCCCCCTCCCTCATTCCCTCCCAACCCTACCCTCTCTCCCTCATCTGCTCCCTGCCCCTCTCTAAGTCCACTGATAGGGGAGGTCCTCCTCTCCTTCCATCTGACCCTAGTTTATCAGGTATCTTCAGGACTGGCTGCAATGTCCTTATCTGTGGCCTAGCAAGGCTGCTCCTCCCTCGGGGGGAGGGGAGGGAGGGTGTCAAAGAGCCAGCCATTGAATTCATGTCAGAGACGGTCCCTGTTCCTCTTACTAGGGACCCACCTGGATACTGAGCTGCCATGGGCTATCTCTGAACAGGGGTTCTATTATCTCCACCCACCATTTCAAATATCAACAGCATGGACCAGGAAGGCAGTAAGGGTAGGTGAGGTCTTTTTACTCACTGGCTCATCTCTATTGAGAAAAGAAAATATACTTTCCCTTCTCACTTGTCCAGACAAGAGTCACCTAGCAGGCAAACCTCACTTGCAAGAGAAGGTAAGGAAGGACATAGATGTTTTTGCCTTCTCTTTGTGGTGGATGTGAAAGAAGAAGGTGAAGAACAGATGTCAGTAATCAATCAACAATCCGTGTAGCATGGAAAAATTACCAACTATTATCATCATCATAATGTAGTTATACTGGTAGTGTATGACAGATAGTCCAGAAAATTTTTGGAGCTCTCTAAAAGCACCAAGGATTTAAATGATACTAGACCAATTTCATTCCTAGATATCATTACTTATCTTCAGTGATTTTGAGTGTTTGTTTGAATTTCTCATAAATCAGATAGACATTTGTTGTTTGCCCAGCTCCCATGTAATTTCAGCATTACACAGATATAGAGCAAAACAAAAACAAAAACAAAACAAAACAAAAAAACAGGCTCCAAGGAACTATTAGGATGAGGACTACACAGAGGTCAGTGTGGCATAAGGGTAACTTAGGCAATTTAGAGATTAGCCTCATTCTGCAATTATATGATTGTTTAATCATATAAAATATTACTGAATTGATGAATAAAATTAAGATCGACACTTTTCTCATCTGGAAGAATATTATTGCCTCATGGCATAAACAGTGTTCTAAGCTTAAGTGAAAGACACTATCCATTGCTCCAGTAAAAACCATATAGATTACACTTATACTTCAATATTTTGTGGTTCTTTGTTTGTTGGTCATGGACTGATTGTCTAGACAAGCCACCAAGGCTAAAGTGACAAATACAGCAGGCATGATTCCTGTCCATTCTCAGCTGCACCCTAAAAGAAAACAAGGATCGGGCAAAAAATGATCCTGAGGATTTGGGAAGTTTGAGGCACCAAATAGGAAGAGGACTTATAGGGTTGGGGACCTGGCTTTATGTATGGATGAAGTGTTTGCTGTGCAAGCATGAGAACCTAAGTTCAGATCCCAACCAGCTGGTCTAGTTGAAACAGTGAGCTTCAGACTTAACTGAGAGACACTTTTTCAAAGAAATAAGTAAGAGAGATAGATGATGTCAGCCTCTGGCCTACCTATGTACACAGATGATACAACACACCTGCACACACACTCAAATACACCATATACATAATACATACACACATAAATAAATACCACAAATATATCTGTATACACACACACACACACATATATATATATATATAGAGAGAGAGAGAGAAATATATATATATGGTTAAGGAAGGCCAAGCTGAAGAAATGTTTACACTAAGACTTAAAAAAATATGGAAATTAACTAGTTGCAAAAACTGGGGTGGTAACAACATTTATGGGTTCTTGGCTGTAAACAAGAATATACTCCTTGAAAAAAAAGACAGTATTTTTTTGGAGTCATGACTCTTACCTGGATCATACATTGTAAGAAGAAAGAAGCCATAATACAGTAGAGAAATAGACCAGATCGTGGTCAGATAGTAAAAGATGTTAAATGTCATGTTAGAGAGTTTACCTACTAAAGTACTTGATTTCAGTGATACTGATGTTTTTATGTAAGCTTTGGTTTCCCCAGCCCTGTGCATGAATAGAGTGCATTTTTTAAGTAGAGTGATATTTTTAAATTAACATATTTGTGTCTGTTGCACAGATAGCAACTCTTTCTCTCTCACACACAAATACTCACACACAGCAC